TTTAAAGCACCAGATGGTGAGGAAGATGAGCCAAGAGGGGTAGAAATCTGGGTGCTGTTATCACCCTGAGCAGGCTCCCAGGAGGGATGAGAGGGTCACACGGGAGAGCAGGGTCCAGTCCAAGGGCAAGACCTGAGAACTGCTCATGCAGCCCTAGAGGGACAGGGATCCCTCACTGTGTCCCATCCCAGCCGAGAGGCCATGCCACTGTCATCTGAGCAGAGAGCTGGGGGTGACATCAGTGCCACTGTACCGAGCACCCTGCCTCTATCCAGAGCCCCATGACTAATTTGGGATGTAGTGGCCATTTTTAATAGGCTGATATAAATATTTATGAGCTGTCAGCTATGAAAAAGGACCCTGCCTCATGCCCTGCTGCCAGGCCAGGAGGCAACACGAGGGAGACAGACGAAGCCCTCAGTGGCGGCCACGGGAGCGCAGAAACCCCAGAGGTCACTGGGCCATCCCCAGTTTCCATCCCGCTGTGAGGATGCCTGGTTGGTGCACACCTTGCAGAGGGCGCAAGCCAGCTCGTATCCAAATCGCGGTTGAACATCCAACCAGTTTCCCGGCGGCCGTGACGTCCCCAGGAGAGTGGGGGCGCCCCGGCCCTGGCCCCCTCACACCCCCGGCCCCGGCCCCGGCCCCCTCACACCCCCGGCCCCGGCCCCCTCACAGCCGCGGCCCGGAGCCCGCAGAGCCGCAGCTCGGCCTGCCACGGCGGCCTCCGCTCTGCCGAGCTGCACAAAGCCGATGCCAGCCTTGTGCTGAGCCGCAGTTCTGCCGTGCCGGCCTGCACCGCCCCGGGCACCGCCTGCCCCCCGTTCCCAGCCCCACAGCACTCAGGCAGCACCGCTGCCCCAGCCCCGAAGGCGTCATCCCCCAGGGATGTGCGGCCCGATTTCTGCATTCCTATTGATTCCTCCTTTGTACTCTTCACCCCATATCGATCCAGTTTAGCTTCTGTGACTCAAACTAAATTAGCTGCCGTTAATCCATGGATAATTGCAGCGAGCCCGGCTCTGCCTGTCCCAGATTCATGGGTGTTAGGGACAGGGAGGAGAGTGCTGGGTCACACAGAGACATTCAGGTTTCTCCTCCATGGGTAAAAACTCCAAACAAGCCAGCAGGCATCAGCCCAGAGGCACCAGGGAAGTTGTCTCAGGACATCCATGCTGCAGCCAGAAACTATGGCTGGGAGCTGCGATTCCAGCAGGACATTTGGCCCCAAAGCCCAGGCATTGCCTTCCAGCTCTGGATTTCCCCAGGCCTCAGAATTCCTGTGGGTCTTAGTCTCAGGTGACACCATGAAATTTTGCAACTTGCTCCTGCCAGGCTGCAGCACACAAGGAGTTAATTCCACCCGCCATGGGGAGAGGAGCAGCCTCAGCCCTCCTGGAGTCTTGGATAAAACCTCAGATGGAAAGCAGAGCCTGTTCCCCTTTGATTAGCAGCCCAGGCTCCCTGGGAGCCCTCAGCATCTCTAGCCTCTAATTTAGCAGCTCACAAAGCACCAAAGGCAGTGGAGATGCCACTGTCACCTCACCTGGACTGACAGCCTGGCACAGCACCTAGGGATGTCCCCACACTGATGGCAGGAACATCCCTCCACTGCAGTTCTGATTCCTTTGTACACCCCCAAAACTCCCTCCCCTACCCAGGCACCCACAGACCTGCACCTTCCGCCCTGGACATCCTCCTCAGTCCTTTCATAAAATCCAAATAAACATTTAATTTTTATTTAATGCAACAGTTACCACAGTCAGTAAATACCAAAACTATAATAAAGGAGGATTAATGGCCATATGCAGCCCTGCCCTGGCCTGCAATGGCCAAGTGTCCATTGCATAACCCTTAATTGGTGCTGATGGCTCCTGCTTTGCCACAGGGCCTTCAGCCATCCCTCCCCACCCCTCCCTGCCTTCCCAGCAGTAGCCAAGGTTGGCAGCCCCTTGAGAAATGGGTGGGATTGCTGCAGCTGCCAGGCAGGAACGGGAGATTTCCAAGTGGTAAACTGGTTCTAAGCATTGGCCTGTGGGTGCAGAGCCTGTTCAGAGCAGCTGAGCATTACATGGGGATGATAGTCCCCAAAATGCCTTGGCCAGTGCACCTGCAAAAGCTGGGGAGAGCTGAGAGCTGCTCTGCTCATCTCTGGAGCACACAGGGGCTCTGGGAGTGTCCAGGCAGGGCACATGCTCCAGGGCCATGCAGAGGTGGTACAGGGTTTGGACAGAAATGGCCAGGACACGCTTTTGTGGGAGGGGAAACTAAAGCAGCAGCTGAGCCGTAGGGGACACCCCCACTGAGCCCCCACAGCACAGCCTGGCTGTGTCCACTTGCTCCATGGCACCAATCTGCACAGAGGGTCAGGTTAAAAAGAAAGAAGCATGTTTTGAGCAAGTGTCAGCCAGCCTCAGCTGCAAATTCACTTGTCAGGAACACTAGAATTACTTGGAGCTGGATAGTGTGAACATCTGTGCAAGGCAAATGCTGAGGCAGGGAAGGGTAGTAGGAGCTGCTGAGTCCCCCAGCCCCCTCCACAGCCTGCAGAAGCTCCATGGGATGCCAGAGGAGGGTTGGTGCAACCCCCACCCCCATCTTGCTGCAAGGGGACTGCAGCAAGCACCCCAAATTACCCAGGAGAGGAGGCTGGAGCTCAGGGCATTCACCATGGCAGCCTGCTGGCTGCAAATTCTCTCTGGGTGAATACTGCAGTAACTGGGCTCAACAGTACAGGATTAGCTTTGGAGGGACTCCTCATAGCAGCCCCACATCTCCTGCCCCCCTGCACCTGCCTGTCAGAGGTTCCCCTGATATTTTGGAGCATTATGAAGCCTTTTAATCACTTTCAGAGCAACCACTGAGCAGCACTTCCAAACCTCCTCCTGCAGCAGCCAACTACCAAAACCTGCCTCTTCATGCCCAAAATAACCCTCAGGCAGGAGTTAATTGTCCACTCAGGCATAAGCAGATCAGTGCTCAGGTGCTACTTGGCTATCCGGGTGTGTGGCAATGGGGTGCTCAGCTGTGCCAGACGTGGGTGCTCAAGTATGAATTAACTATGTGCTCAGCTTAGGAAACCTCATTATTTTGCCCAATCTACCTTCTCAAAGGCATTGCAAATTGCACCCCCACACATGTTTCGGAGGGGGATATTGACACTAGAGCAGGATCCAGGCTTAGGACTCCCTTCTCCATTCCCCTTCTCCCACAGATGCAACATCCCCCACAACAAACAGCTTTCAAAGCCCATTTCCCATTGATGTCACTTCAATGCCACAGGAGATAAAAGCTGAGAGATCCAGAACCAGCGCTGAGTTTTCCAGGGAATATTAATTAGAGGGAAAGCCTCATTAGCGCAGCAAGGGTGGCTGCTTATGCTGCCTCCCCATCACCCCCATGTGTCCCAGACCCCCCAAAGGGACATTGTGGGTGTCAGGCCTCCCATCTGCCTTGGTGGTCTGATAAATGGGGTGCCCTGCACATCCCCCAGTGTAAGTTTTAAATGCTAAAGCAGGTGTTTATACAAAAAAGATGCCAAGGGAAAACCTGTTTCTCCCCATCCCTGGCTGCCGGGGCTCCCAGGTGAGCCCAGAGCCCTGGGCAGGAGGAAGTCCCCCTGTGCATCTGCAGCAACCCGATGGCAAACCCAAGTGTTTGTGGGGAAAACCAGCACATGAGTTATCTGATGTGTTTTTGGAGAGCTTTTTTGACAGCTCTGCAGCTGGAGAGGAGCGGGGGAGCACAGGATGCTGCCTCCAGCCACCCTGAGCCTCTGCACTGGTAGAGAAAGCCTCTGCATGTGCCACCAAAGGGAATGCGGGAAGGGATCAGGAAAACAGACACTGGGAAGTGGCACAGCACCCCTGAGCCCAGAGATCCCACTCCATCATCCTCCTGAGGGCCTGGCTAGGCTGGGCAGCACCCACCAGTCCTGTCTCCTGGTAACTGCCCCAGAAAACAAGCCTTGCGGCAAAACAGCACGTGCCATGAAATCAGAAGGCTGGTGACAGGACAGGACGGGAAGCACTACTGGGAGGGTTTAACCACTGTAGCCACCAATGAAGAGCAGCACCCCTGGGTGCCCCAGCTGAGGGTCTGGCCAAGGGGTACCAAGGGGTCCAGTAGGGGAGATGCAGTGGAACTCAAGCAAAGCCACTCCCTGCTAAGGCCATAAAGCCCAGGGGTGGCTCCACGGACAGGCAGAGTGTGGGAAGCACAGGATACGGCCACCAGCACCCAGGGACAGCAGCAAGGCAAAGGCACTGGGAGGACAGAGGTGCCACAACAACAGTTATTCATCACAAAGAACTTCTCATTCTTTTTTGTTTTGTTTTGTTTTACTGAGAGGTGAAGCCAATTCATCCTGACAGAGGTTCACAGCACAGCTCTGCCTGGGGGCTGCTCACAGAGACACCAACAAGTAACACAGTATGGGAGGAAAGCACCCTGTGTCTGTGCCACAAGGGGCTGGTGGGCACCAAAATGTCACCCTAGCCCTGTGCCACCTCGGGGACAACTGCCATTGTGGCATCTCTGTGGGCTTCCCCGCAGGCACTGAGCACCAGCCCTGCTCTCTGAGGACGCTCTCCCAGCAGACACAAACCAACTCACTCTGAGCACTTCTGAGGATGGGTGTCAAATCAATCCCCACAGCAGAGATGCCAAGTTTAAAAAAAAAAAGATGGCAAAAAACCCCAGAAGAAAGTAGGCGGACATCTGCCAAACCAGCAATTTTCAGCTGGATTTCCAGAAACACTTCAGGCTTTTAAAACCAAGAGAGGAGAGAAAATAAAACCCCTTCACTCAGATGAAGTGCAAAATTCCGATTTGACTTCAAAGGCATTTCTCCTGGCTAGTTACTCCCAAACCCTGGCACAACCCACTAGAAAGCCAGTGGGCAGTGCTATTTTGCTGCCAGATGACAGCACCCAGCCAGCTGGGGTGTGAGGTGCCGTGCTGGGGGAGCCCAGGGTGTCAGAGGGATTGGAAGCAGGGAGGACAAGGAAGGAAGGAGGGGAGGAAAGAGAGAATAAACTTTACATCAGTTGTAATCAGCAGGTTTTTTCCATGCACTATATAGTCAGTTAATGTATGTTACAATCTCCTCTGAAACGGAAAAATACCACAGCTGTTGTAGCCAGTAACACTTTTAAGAGCGCTTGACTCCCAAGTCATCCAGGTGCTTTTGACAGTGTTACCCTGGGTTGCTATAGGAACCCTAACAGTGCTCCCATCTGACTTCTCCATTAACACTGGATTTATATTTAATTTGGTTTTCTTTTCCTCAGCAAGAAGAGGTGAGAAGCAAGCATGAATACAGAGGCAGGAGATGCTCCTCCATGGGTGTCTCCTGGACATACCAAAAACAGGACCCAGGACCAGTGCTGAGACACTGCTGAAGCAACAATGCAAGCAGACCCCAACCTGCTGCAGGTGGGGAAGGGCACAGCCCCACTGCACTGCTAGGAGCCATCTGGGATGGTGCTCAGGTTGCCTCTGTTATAGAGGTTCTCCCATGTTCCCGTGCCAGTCTGTCCCACTCTTGCCTTCCCACAGGCAGCACGACTGAGGGCTCATGGGCTGAGCATCCCACGCAGCTGCTGGACAGAGGTGACAGGCAGGGAGCAGGTGAAGTTGCTGCAGACATAGGCAGTGGCCTTCCCATCCTTCCTCTCCAGGGATGCAAGGAAAGGCAGCTGGCGGTAGAGGAACCCAGAGCTGTCTCCATCTGCGACCATCAGCACCTGTCCAGAGAAGGAGCTGTAAGAGCCAGAGAGCACAGGCAGCGCCAGCCAGCTGGTCCTTCCTGCCCCTTCCTGCCCCACTGACATGCTGAGGGCTGGCAGTGTCCCCCCACACACTCTCTCAAAATGGAGAGGGGATGGGCAGCTGAAGGGATCCACTCCAGCCCTCTGCCAGGGTCCCACAGTGGTCACACCCTGTAATGCCAGTGCAGGAAAAAGCATGATGGAGATGTGGCAGCCTAACCACACCAAACACTTGGCAGCCAGGATGAAGCACAGGGATGGGCACATCCCAGCTAGCCAGCTCCTTGGGGACACCTACCCAGCCAAAGAACAGCCCCAGAGACAGCTGCATTGCCCCATCTGACCTGCAGCCCAGCTCCTCCTGCCCTACCCACACCTCCCAGAAAAACTCAGGCGGCAATGAGCAGTGGGTCAGGGGCTCTCCCAGCTGACACAGCAGCATCAGCCAGAGGTGATGACTGGGCTGCCAGGATAATTAGCTTTTCTGAAAGGGAAAATGTTTGTTAAAGCCTCGGGGCTTACAGGCTAATCAGGAGAAAGGCCAGGAGCTGGCAGTGAGCCTCATGCCGACACAGATGCAAAGGGTGAGCAAAAGGCTGTCCTTCCCAAGGCACAGAGGGAACATCCTGCTGCTGGAGCACACAGCTGTCCCTTGCCCGCCCCAATCCAAGCCCTGCATGTGTCTGCTGAGCATGGACACACTCGCAACATGTCCCTACTACTCATGCCAATGCCACCAAGGGATGCTGACACCAAATGCTGCCTCTCACAGCACACACATCTCCACCATGGCACTGCTCACCTGGCACGCAGCATCCTCTACACCAGAGCCAGCAGAAGACCCAGCACTGGCATCCAGAGACACCCACACAGCCTCACTCATGCCTGGCAGGGGCTGCCCACACCCTTGTGTCCCCAGAGGGGCACCACATCCCCAGGTCCCTGCCCTGGATAGTGGTTGCTGCAGTCCTGTTCTATCCACCATCACCCCACATCTGCTTGACCCAGCTCTGGCTCAGCCTGTCTCCCTGCCTGCCTCTTGCTCCCCCCAATCTCCTCCCCCTTTGCCTTTGTCTGGAATTAATTCCAGGAGTGATTAATTACCAATTCATGTCCAATCTGAAATTCATTATTCATTTTTCTCACAAGCTCCCCAAGGTCCTCTCACAGGGCCAGGATGAAGGCAAGTGGCAGGCGAGTGCTCTGCAGCCGAGGAGATAATGGGATCCTTCATAATTACCCTAAAGACCATTAACAGGGCAGGGATCTATACCAGCAGCTGGGATCCAGCCCCAGAGCAGGGAACCAACCCTCTCTGCTCCCAGCACCAGGACACTCACAGGAGCAGCTCTCAGCATCACCCCTACTTGCATCCCCAAAGAGCTGCCTGCAGCAAAGGGCCACTCCAGAGCCAGGGTCCATTTAAAATCACAACCTCAATGCAATTCTATCATTAGCATCTTGTTACAGCAAGGATTTCAGGGTGAGGTTTGTAAGGAATTAATTACTGAAACAACCTAATTAATTGTGTTCCTGCACACAAGCCTGGCCCCCGGCACCCTGCTGGCACAAAGGGAATGGGGACGTAGGGGAACAGGGATGTTCCCCCAACTCCTTGGCAAAGGCAATTCCCAAATCAGCCATGTCCCTGGAGCAGGTGACCCAGGGCTGCTGTGCTTAGGGCAGCTTCCCGTGGCAGGGAAGGAGATGTGAGGAGTAGCTGGAGGGGGATGGAGGCAGGTGGGAACAGGAGCATGCTCATTTCTGTGAGATGCAGCACGGAAAGAGGGACGGCTGTTGGGAGGCAGTGGGCTGCTCCCAAAGGTAGAGCAACTCTCTGAGAAGTGGGATTCTCCCCCCTTCCTGTCGTCACCTCTGCAAGGGGAGGAGCCATTGCTACTGCCAGAGATCATGCTCCTAGCACTCCTGCACACTCATGCCTGGGGAAGGGGAGACACGTGCTCCTCTGGGGGAGAGCTCTACCCTCCTGCCACAATTCTTCTTCCAGGAAACATACCCAAGCTGCAACAGCTTTGGCTCCATCCCATCATCGCAACATGAGGAACACACAAGGGGCAAACAGAGCTACACTCCCACCCTGCCTGCTGCCAGCTCCCACCTACAGCCTCTCAAAGCATAGGTCCCCTGCAAGCAGCCCTGGCAGGCATGACCATGGCTTCACTCCCCCATGGAAATATCCATCCAGAATACCCAGCCCTCATCTTCTCTCTTCCCCAAGGAATGCAAAAGCTTGAAAGAGAAAGATCCTCGTCTGGGGAAGGAGCAGCCCCACCAGCCAGGCTTGTTACCAGCTTTGCAGGAGGGAGCCAGACTGCAGGGGAGAGGAGGATATGGCTGTGCTATTTGTTCTGCCCAAGGCCCCAGAATGGCGGTGTGGGCTCAGGGGACCAAGGGCTGAACAGCTGTGGGCAGAGGGTTATTAACAGTGGTGCTGGGCTCCTGTTCCTGCAAACTGGGTCAGCCAGGGTAATCCTTCCAAGGGACAGAGGTCGAGTGTGGGAATAGAGGCCTCGCACACAAAATAGGGACCTGCATGGAACAAGAGTGCTGCTGGATGGGTGATGGCAGAGGAAGGACAGAGAGTATGCCCCACTCATGTCCCTGGAATGGGTCCCTGATCCTCCAATGCTGGCATCAAACATCACTGGGCAGAGGGTTAGGGGTGACACCCTGTGGGCTGAGCTAACAGAGTACAGAGCAGAGGATTCTGTGCTGATGGCTCAGCCCTCCCCAGTTCATCCTAGCTGGGGTTACAGAGGCAAAGTGGTGCTTGGGCTTCAGCTCCCCAGACACTGAGACTGAACATGCCAGTCCCTGGCACCAGGGCCCAATGGGCAGGGATGAAGCCAATCCAAACACCAAGCTCCCTCACTCACAGCCCAGTCCTATTTCCCTCAGCTCCACATCTTTGCTGAGGTCAAAGCCATCATTCCCAAGGCAGGGACACTGGCCACCAAAGCTGATGGGCACCAGCTGCTGTGCTGCCCTTCCCTGCCAGTTCCAGATGCAGCCAACAACTCCAGCCCCTCTGTGGGATGCACTGATACATCCCAAAGCAGAGATGAGGACAAGCAGAGTCAGGCAGGAACCCCAATACACAGCAACAGTTGCTGGATGGGAGAAGAGCTTTGGGAAAAGCCAGCATCTCCCAGCTGGTGGTACCCAGAATTGGAGTGAGGCACTGCCTCATCCCTTCCAAGGATGCAAGGGTGTCTCCAGGCAGCAGGTGACCCAGATGCTAACTGGGTCTGCACAGGACATGACACATCCACACTAGGCATGACACATTCACACCGGAATGAAAGGTTTCCCCTTGGGAGTGCACTGGGCTTTACACTGAGAGCAGTGCAAACAGCCAGCAGCAATAACAACCACTGCTGCAGCCACTTCTAGGCTGGGCTGCCCATGCTCTGTGCAGGGAGAGGAGTGCAGGGCTCAGCCATGGCCCTGTGGCTGTGCTCAGAAATGAAAAGGACAGGATGCTTCCCAGAAGAGAGGCAGAACAGAGGAGGATGGGTGCAACAGCTGCACTGAGAGAAGGGATGAAACACCAGCAGTGCAGACAGCAGAGACCAGGGAAGGGCTGGCAGGCAGGGAGCACCTCTACCTTGTTTGGGCTGAAGACAGAGCGGACACAATGCAGCATCTCTTTGGTGTCTTCTCCTTGGGGGTCCCCACAGATGACAACCTGTCCGGGGGGAGGGGGGATGGCAGGAGGGAGAAAACAGAGCTGTGACTGCACCCATGCCACTGCCAGCCCCACTTCCTACAGCAGGTCCTGCAGGGCACAATGAGCCCCAGCCCATACCTGTTTGAGGGTGTGATGGAAGACAGCGGTGGCCCGGGCCATCTCTGGGAGGGTTATCGGGATCTTCTGCAGCCTCTCTGAGAAGGCAGCCAAGATCTTGCTGGCTTTTTCCACCCAGTCCATATGACCAGAGTAACAAGCTGCTCGGAGCAGGTTTGTGACAGCGACAGAGTTAGGGGTGGGCTCTGCTCCATCTTGGTCTGCAAAGCACAACATCTGCCATCAGCCCAGTGCCTCACCATCATCTGCCATCAGCCCCGTCCTCCCACACCACAACCCATGGAACACATTGCCAGGTCCCTGAGCTCACCATCCTTGAGACGCAGGAGCAGAGAGGGATCGCTGGCCTCAGTGGAGAAATAAGCAAAGCCTTTAGGGTCCCAGAAGAGTTTGTCTTGCATGTGCTGGAGATGAAGGGCCCACTCCAGCCAGCTCTGCTCCAGGGAGGCTTCATACAGGTCAAAGAGTGCCTGGATGACAAAGACATAGTCCTCCAGGAAGCCCTGGATGGGCACAGCACTGTAGTGGCACACAGGGAAGGAAAAGCAGGTTAGAAATGTTCTCCAACCCAGCAAAGCCCTGCTTACTGGTCTCTGATACCCAAGGAGATGCCACCAAGCAAAGCAATGGCTGTGGCCATCACACAACTCAGCCCCAGGGTTCTGTACAGGAGGACAAGGTAGGGGAAGACACTTGCCAGCATGAAAGGTGAGGAACAGGAAAGGTTTTGACTTCAATTCCTCCTGGGGGACACTAATCCTTCCTAAACTGCACCAAAGCTCTACACAAAACAAACAGCCTCCCTCCCACCCAGTTAGGTCCTGCCTGGAAGAGAGGACAGGGACTGCTGGGGGTCTGGGCAGCACCTGCAGGTGGCCAGTCAAGTCTGTGGAGTTTCTGATACTCACCTCTGCTCCACTGAGTTGTGCTTGCCCCGGTAGCAGCTCCGAAGCAGCCTCCCGCTGTCGGGGTCGAAAAGGTGTGTCCTCAGGAAGGCAGCTGCCTGTGCAGCCCTGCTCACATATCCCTGCTCAGCCAGGGTAGCCCCAGCCTGGGCAAAGCCTGAGATCATCAGCCCTGCAGAGGCAGAGACAGCAGGACAGGTCAGGGGGGGCACACGGAACTGGTGAGAGGGTCAGAGTCAGTTCTCTGAAGGAGGCTCAACGTGAAGCTCATCCTCCCTGACGGCAGCAGGTCAAGTCTTAGCTCTTCTGCTCAGTTCTAATCATTAATGAAGTCACTCACTGTCACCAAAGAGATAGGCAGAGTACTGTAAGGCCAGCAAGAGCTGAGCCCTCACTTTTGGGCAGATACAGGGCTCAAGATTATTCCAGTTTGCAGGATAACTCCAGCCCATGCCAGCTCCCAACCCAAACACCCAGGAATTTACTGCTGGGAACAGAGCTGGGGGTCCTGCAGTGATTCCCTGAGGCAGGACCCCCAGACAGACACAGCGCTGTGATCCCTCACCCATGCAGCAGTAGGGATGGGCTCTGTACCCACCAGGGTCCTGGGGCCCCAACTCAGACCCCTTCCCCACAGCCCAGCCAGAGGAGCTGAACTGAGCCAGGGGAAGAGTTCTGCTGCTCTCTGCTGGCAGCTGGGGAAGGAAGTAAAGCCAGAGCAGTATCCCCATGCTCCTAAGGCTTGCAGGTGTGGGGCTGCTTCCACACAGCCCCTGATCACAGGTCCCAATCACAGCCTACCCAGTGCCTCTGTGGGAGCTTCTCAGTCCCAGCAGGACCTGTTGCTACCATGCCCTGGTGGGGGTCCAGCCAAGGCATGTCCTCAGAGCAGAGCCCCCCCTCACCATTCCATGCTGCCAGCATCTTGGTGTCCAGGTGTGGCCGTGGCCGCTGTGCCCGGGCTGAGGACAGTCTGTGTTGGCATTCTTGCAGCAGGGCACTCAGCCGGCCTGGCTCCAGCCCAAACCGGGCTGCCGTCACCGCCGGGGGGCAGCGGGCAATGAGGACGTTCTTTCCCTTCAGCTCCTGATGGGGGTCCTGAAGGGAGAGGGACACATGTTCTAGAAATGCCATCAGACTTGGGAGGTGTTGGACTCTGAGTGTTTTGGGGCTGCTCTGCCATCCCTCCATGCCAATGGATGCAGGTCTCTCATCAGTGCTCCTGACACTAGGACAGTCTTTGCTCTCCCTCACCTTCATGGGGTCCACGTTGCCAGCCTCTTCCACTCCATAGTGGTGCATGAAGACATCTCCCAAGGTTGTCCCCTCTCTGGCCCCCTCAACAGGGTCGGGGAGGAGAGCCCGGAGCTCCTTGGCTGTCCATACACAGAAAGCTCCTTCTCGCTTCTCTCTAGATGTGGTGGTCGGATAGGAATCTGCATCTTCTGCACTATAGAAACCTCCTGCCTGGGAAAAGTGCAACAGAGAGATCCTCCAGCTCCAGGACAACACTTTCAGCCAGCTCCCCATCATTGCAGGGCTGGCAGTCTGGCTAATGAGCCTCAGTAGTGCTCCAGACTGAGCTCAGCTAGAATGGAAGGCAGGGAAAAACAGCCCCAAGCCACATCCCAGGGTAGGGCAAGTGGCTCCCTTTGGGTCAGCTCAGGGAAGAGCCTACCTGGTCACTCAGGTCACGCGAGACGTAGAGTAAAATGTCTCGGACAACATCAGCAAAGAATTCATCACCAGAGATCTGTGTGAGACACAGCATGGACATCAGTGTTACATGGGTGGGAGGGGGCAAGAGACACAGCAAGATATGGTGAGAGATTTCAATTTGAAGAGTTGGCAAGGGAGCATTTGAAAGTCCAAGGATTTTAAAAGAAGGATAGATTCAGAATAAGACCTTCAATAGAAATCTACTATCAGTGAGTACGGCATATCTACAAAGGGCAGTGGAGAGTAATGCTGGAGTTACACCAAGGTCAGAGGCAGCAGCATTGTCTGCTGACTTGCAAAAACCAGCCCAAAGGCTGTTTGTTCCCCCATTATGCTCAAAGCCCCAGGGCTACACTGTCACACGTTTGTGCAGCACTTCTGGGTAAACAACAGGAGATGAAGGGGAGCATTGGATTGCTCCACACCCGTGGGATGGGGAGTATCTTGGGGAACAGGGTTTGAAGCTGCTCCCCAAACCAGGCCAGTCCTTGCAGCCTGCAGGAGTGGGAGCCACACAGAGGGATGCCAAAGCTATACCTGGAAGGCTTTGCTGTACATGGCTGCCAGCTGCCCCTGGTCATACAGCATCTTCTCAAAGTGAGGAACATGCCAGTGCTGGTCAGTGGAGTAGCGGTGAAACCCCTGCACAGAACATGTGAAGACGTCTCTACCTCAGATCTCCACCTCACACCTCCTGGCCATGACAGGGGCTTACCCCCAAAGATTTACTCCTACCTGACCAATGTGGTCATGGATGCCCCCACAGGCCATCATCTTGAGGGTGTGCAGAGCCATCTGCAGTGCCCGGGCACCTTCTGGAGTTGTTTGGTGCAGGGCCCAGTACGTGAACAGGAAATTCAAATTCACTGAAACACAGGGAGACAATGGGAGGCTGTGGGGTGGGCTCTGCCCCCACGCTGCTGTCTGCCTCACAGCAGGTCTCACCAGAAGAGACCAGACTGACCTGGGGTGGGGAACTTGGGGGATTTGGAAAATCCACCATAATCCTCATCATAGGATCTGGAGAGCTGCTGGAAACAGGTGTCCATCACCTCTTTGGCTGGTGGGGGTGACTCCTGGCCCTGCACACGGATCTCTGATGTGTGTCGCAATGCTTCCAGAATCCTCTGGCTGCTCTCCAACAGGGCATCTTTGTTCTCCTTCCACTAAGATGCAATGGGAAAGAGATAGTTCTTATTGCCTTGCACCGGTCCAAACCATACCTCCAGTTCTCAATCACCCTCCCCAAATCAGCTCAAACCCACTTCTAACCAAGCCAAAGCTCTGGCTGGTTCTCTGGACTACTCTTCCTCACAACTGAATCTCCAAACTCAGTTACCCTTCAAGTCCAGACCAATCTCCCTGTGCTCCCTTTGGTTCAGCCCTGTCTGCTACACTATTCCTGCCGCACACCTGCTCTGCGATCCGGAGCAGCACAGTCCGAAAACCAACACGATGAACTCCATCCTCAGGAGGGAAATACGTCCCCCCAGCAAAGGGCTTGAGGTCTGGGGTCAGCCAGACACTCATGGGCCAACCACCTCCACCACTGGTGGCCTGAAAGACAAAACACATGTGCACCAAGGTCACGCAAGAGGCACCTGCTCTGTGCCCTTCCAGCACATACAAGAGCCTCACTCAAAAAGAGATGTGTGCTTCTGTCCACCGTTGATACCCATCCAGACCACCCCATATACTGGTACTGCTTGCCTGAGGAACATGACAATGAACAACACCCTGAGAGAACCAGTCAAAGCCTCCTGGGCCCTGCCCGTGCCTCCCTCACCTGCACGAAGGTCATGTATACTTTATCCACATCTGGCCGCTCCTCACGATCCACTTTGATGCATACAAAGTGCTCATTCATGATCTCCCCAATCTCCTTGTTCTTGAAAGACTCTTCCTCCATGACATGGCACCAGTGGCAGGTGGAGTAGCCAACTGCAAACAAGCTTAGATGGGTGAGAACTGGTCCTTTGCAGGGAGCAGGAAACATGTGATGGGGAGAACACTTAGAGATGGGGACCCTTGCTATGGGCAAGAGCTGCTGCCCCCCCTGGACAAGAAATGGAGGAGAAGAGTCTCCTGAACTCTCCAGCTCCTGATCCTAAAAGCTGGCCAAGGACTCTGGTCCTGCATGCAGCCCATTTTCAGAGAGAGCTACTCCAGCACATGGTACTCTCTTGCTTGGTGGTCATCCATACCTACATGGCTAATCACACACCAGCTCAGGATGCAGCTCAGCTTATCTGATCATCTACTGACCAACACAGGGGACATGAAATATGCCTTGTTTCTGGTTACCTGACAGGAATATCAGCTTGTTTTCTCTCTTTGCTTTATCAAAGGCTTCCTGACCCCAAGGGTACCTGTGGGGGAAGACAAGATTCGCTCAGCCCCATGGACACAACGACAAGAGGAGGAGGAGGAGGAGGAGGGGGAAAGGCTCCCCATTGCTCTTACCAATCCACAGGGTTGTGGGCGTGCTGCAGGAGGTACGGGGACTTTTCGTTAATCAGGCGGTTGGTGTGACAAGGGACGCTGGGGGGGCCGGGTGTCCCCACCGTGGCCATGGCTGCGATCCCCGTCAGAAATATGTGCCTGTGACACCAAACAGGCTCAGGGGCTCCCTGCTCACCACAAAGCTCAGCCTCTGGACAGAGCCATGACAGACCAGAGCATCAGCACCACCACCCCAGGTCCTGCTGTGCCCCAGGACAGGGTGCTGCTCTCCACTACTCGCTCCCCATGCCAAGGGAAACGGTCTCAGCCCCAGGTAGCTCTGCTGGGGCTCAGTCCACCCCAATCCCCTCTAGGACGTTACAAGTCCTTCCCACTCACTGGAGGCTCAGAGGAGTTTGTTCTCCAGTTTGCCACACCGCACCCATGCTGGGGGGAAGGCCATTCCCAGAGCTGCCTCTCCCACCAGCACACTTTGGGGGCACACTCAACAGCTGTGAATGCAAGAACAGCATCTGCGGGACCTGACCTGCGTGTCCGCAGGGAGAACACTCCCTCAGAAAGGAAAATCCCGTCTCGTGAGGTGGATGTGGGCAGGGGGGACACGGGCTCTTTATAATGAGGGGAATGGGGGGCAGGGAGACTGCTCTGCTGCGGGGTAGATGCGGGCTTTGGGTATGGGGATGCAGCAGAGATGCAGGGCTGGGATGCAGGAGGTGGGAAAGGGGTGCAAAACGGGGGTACAGAGTATGTAAAGTCCTGAGGGGCTGTGGTAGCGAGAGGAGGATTTAGGGAGGATACAGGGGGATACGGAGAGGATGTCGGGGAAGGCAGGAGAAGCGTACGGCTGCGAAAAGGCTCTATAAGGGGCTCAGGAAGGTGCAGGGAGAATGTAGAGGAAATGCAGAAGGAGTACAGGGCGTTGCAGGAGAATTCAGGGACGCGGGCGCTGCAGCGAGGATGCGGGGGGCACGGGAGAAGTGCGGGGAGGGTTCGCGGAGCGGCGGGGACGCGGTGATGGCGCAGCCACCGCACCCAGGGCCGGACCCGCCCCCCCGGCCCCTCCGGTACCTGCGGGCGCAGCGCAGCGGCGCCGCCAACATGGCGGCAGCTCCCCGGGCCCCGCCCCTTACCAGCCCGGCCGCGCCCCCCTGCCCCCGGTGCCCCCGCCCCTTACCGGCCCGGCCGCGCCCTCCTCCGTCACCGCCCGGCCCCCGAGGCGCGGCCTCGCCCCCACTGGGCCCCCGCCCCTCCTGGTTCCGGCCCCGCCCCGTTACCGGCCCGCAGCCGTTACCGCCCCGCGCCGCGGTCGCTCAGCGCAGTTCACAGTGGCACGGGGCACTCACAGGCGTACACTGGGTTGCTCAGCGCAGTTTATTGTCGCACGGGCACCCGCAGCCGCCGCCATCGCAGCGCCCAAGCACCGCCGCCCCCGCCCCTGGAGCGGCGCCCAGCAGCGGGCGGGGGGCGGTGGCGGCGGGACGGGGGTGAGGGGGAGCAGCCAAGGGAGGGCGAACCCCGCGGGGTGGGAGGACCCGCGGCTTCCACCCCCGGACCTGCGCTGCCCGAGATCCCCGCTGTTCTGGGGCAAAGTCCCACCACGCCGGGGGTCCATCCAGCAGCCGGACCCCGTGCACTCGCCCGGCCCACTGAGCGGAGCCCCCGCACCACAGCCCTTTGTAAGGCCTCCGCCATGGCCCCTCACAGGGGAAGGGGGGTCCGGGGCTCATGCTGGCTGCCCCCCAGCCAGCCCCACCGTGGCCCCCCACACTGGCCCTCGCAGGGGAAGGGGTCCCCTGTTGCCCGTCAAGCACGGGGGCTCATGCTGGCTGCCCCTCACAGTGGGCACGGGGAGGGGGCTGCACCCTCCCATGCAGCTTAGCAAACCCCCAAGTCTTGGTGGAAGGAATGATCGGGGGGATTGTAACAGCTGGGGAGGGGGTCCACATGTCCAGATGTCCAGAGGGTTCAGAGGAAGGGGTTGAGCCCCCCGGGCGCGGACGGCGGGGCCGGGGGGCCGCTCAGCGGCAGTAAAGGCTGCGGCAAGGTGCTGGGGAGTTCGGGGAAGGTGCCAGCCTGCGGAAAGGCACTGGCGGAGGCGGGGAGGGCAGCGGTGGCAGCGGGGACGCTGCTGAGGGGCAGCGGCAGGGATGCGCTGTAGGTCATGGAGTTGGCGGGGTGGCCGGTGGGCAGGCCGGGCACTGGCGAGCTGGTCCGCATCTGGTTCAGCGTCGGCTTGGGCTGTTCGGAGAGGCTGAAGGGGTTGGTGGGGGACGGCGTGCTCAGACCTGGAAGAGAGAAGATGGGACATGTCAGGACAGCCAGGCTGCTTCCAGCAGTTCTGCTCCTCCTCTTTCTCCCCCACCACCACCTGCCCAGCGCAGGGAAGCTCCCGGCCAGCAGCCCTGCAGCACCTACCCGAGAGAAAGGGGTTGCGGGTCTTGGAGGCTGGAGTAGGTGCGACCAGGGAGTCCAGGTTGACCAGGGAGGAGGCGGCAGGGCCAAGGAAGGCCTCGGGAGTTTTACAGTCCTTCCGATCCTTGCCGGATTCAGGCAGGGAGTCAGCCAGGTTGGCAAGGTCAAAGCTCTTTGCCCCATCCTGCCTGGTGCTGGGGAACAGGTCGCCAAAGGGGTCGGGCTCTGAGATGGAGGGAGATGAGACACATGAGCCAGCTGGGAGACACCAAGGGTGACAGCACTGTCCCTTGTCACTGCACAGGGTGGCTGACAGCACATCTCACCCCAGGTCACAGTGTGACACAGTGGGGCTGTGCCTGCAGCATGGCCTGCCCAAGTATCCCCCAAGCCACCATGGGAGACAGCAGAGTTAGGGACATGAGCACACACAGAGACTTGGGCTGCTCCCTTAGCTGGCCATACCAACAAGCAACTACACACAAGCTGGCCAGCCCTAGAACTGCCTCCCTGCCACAGGTCAGCACCTGCCCACTCCCAGCTCTTACCCACAGGGCTGCTGGACTTGGCCGAGGAGGGCGGCTGCGAGGGCTCCTGCTCCGGCGGCTCGGGCGGCTTTGCAAACGGGTCAAAAGCGTTCCCCCCTGGAGCTGGGGGGAAGAGGGGACACTCAAGGAGGGGAGCAAGCAGGGAGGTGTGGGGCAGGAGATGGAAGGGCAGGAGAGAGGCAGGGGTGGCTGCCTGCAAGGAGACAGAGAAGAGGGGATGCAATGCAGGGCATGGGTTTGGGGGTCAGGAACGTGCACTGGGGAAGGCTTAGATGCGCTAGATCACGAGATCATTGCAGACAAAGACACCCCTACTGCTTGCAGCCATTACACCATAACAAGCAGGTCCCTTTCCCAGCCCCAGCAGGGACAGGTAGAGGGGACAGGTCTGCAGGAATGCTTTAGCAAACAGCACTGGCCCCCAGACCAGGTTCTGCAACCCTCACCAGGGACCAAAAGAGGGGGCAACGCATGCAGGACCTGCACAGGGCTGGAGGAAACACCCAGGAGGAACTGAGAGTGACACTGAGCTTTGAAACACAGGCTGCTCCTACAAGTGTTTCCCCATCTGCAACATGGCACCTGCGACCAGCAACGGGCCTGTCTAGTCCTGGCAGGGTGTACAGGGGTCATTTGGGTTGAGCAAATAGGTATCACTAATGGGACACAGCATCACCCCACTGCTGGAGGGGTGTGGGGCTGCCACCTGCTCCCATCAGATGGCTCTATTAACTGCCACGTTAATTAAAGCAGCCTGTTCTGTACAAAGATAAAGCCTAAAAGTTCCTTGAAGTCTTCAGGATGCTGAGGGATGAGCTAAGGGACAGGAGGGTGGGGAAGGGGTGCTTGGGGAGCTGGTTGAAGGAGGAAGGGGGGAGAACCCAGAGATGCCCACTTGCAGGAGGGTAGTGATGGTCAAGGCTGTCCTCAATCCTCAGCAAAGCCAGAAGGCGCATTGAGCCTCTTACCAGGGGTTGGAGGCTGCTCAGGCACAGCAGCCCAAGGGTCAGGAGCTGGTGTAGAATTGGAGCCCTGGGGGGCTGGGGGGGATGCTGTTCCCCAGGGGTCTGCAGGAGGGAAGCCAGAAGACATCGGTGCCTTCCCCCAGGGGTCAGAGGCTGCAGTGGTGCTGGGGGGAAAGTCCCAGGGCCCAGCAGGGGTTTGCTGGGATGAGGCGCTCGCCTGGGAGAGGGGCTCCCCACCAGGGTCTGGCACTGGCACCCAGGGATCCGCTGCACCGCTCCAGGCAGAGGCCACCGGCTCCACCTTGGGTTTCATATCTGGAAAAAAAGGGAAACTCTGGGAGGGGGGAACAATGCAGAGCACAGAGGAATGCTGAGTGGCGGGTACGTGGCCAGGAGACCATGGCTTCCAGCAGTACCACCTGGGAGCGTAATGGAGTAGGCACGAGGGAGAGACGGCAGAGGTCCTCATTGTTGAGCTGCTGGAGGAACAGAGGCAAGGGACAACTTTCTGCCACTGTCCCAAATTCTGGCAGCCTGCAAGTTGTCCTCACCTGTCATATCCCATGGGTCAGCAGACGTGTGGCTGGAGGGGGCTGGCGCCGGCCCAAATATATCTGCCAGCTCCAGAATAGAAGACTGCGGACAGGAAAGGAATAAAAAGGTGAGAGGAGCCTGGGGCAGACCTGCAGGATCACCCCCGTGTGGCCACCCAGCCTCCAGTGCTATACCTGGCTTTTCTTCATCTTATCTTCTTCTTGCTCTTCCTCCCTGCCTGGGGCAGTCTCCTCCACAGGCCTCTGCTGCAGGGAGTTCTCCCCTTGCCAGGTCCTCACTTCCTGTGGGGACAGGGGATGGGGCCTGTGAGCTCAGCAACCCTGCAGACAGCACCTTCTCCAGGAGACACACTCAGCACAGGAGCTGCCACCCAAGAAGTCCCAGCACCTGAGCAGACAGCTCCTCCAGGGCCGAGCCCCCCAGGAGAGCACTCAGCAGACAGCCCGGAGCAGCGAAAGCAAAGCGGGCACCGGAGCCAGGCGATGGTTTGGGCTCCGGTGCCACAGAGAGACCAAGTGCAAGGAGAGCGGAGCGCCAGGGCCGCAGGACACAGGTACCTTCTCGTGCTCCTCTTTGCTCAGCGCGAGCGCGAGCTGCAATTGCCTTTCTTCATCTGTACTGGAAAGTGGAGGAAGTGGCTTCTGGCAACAGAGGAAATTGGGTGATATTTCAGCTTGCCCTCAACTTGCAAGACTGCTTGGTGGTTGTCCCTCTCCTTGCCACCGCCATTCCAGCGGCCCCTTGCCTGCCTGCACAGCATCTGTGCCCATGCAGCTGGCCCTGCCTGCAGACCCCCAGCCCAGGGTCCCTGTGCTCTCTAACCAGCTCCTGCTCAGGTTCCGTGCAGCCCCTGCCCAGCTCCTTCCCCGATCCCATCACCTGCCGCTGGATTAAGGCTGGGATGACCCTAAATTAGGCAGTCAGCATCTCCCCTGGGAGGTTTTTGGGGACCCTGATGCAGTCAGTGAAGGAGAGGAGTAAGACATCCCCTTGCCCTGGCAGCCTGCTGGGTAAAGATGGTTGGTGACACTGACTCAGTTTGGGATTCCAGCCAGCCTCACACCTAGACCTGAGTAGACTTTGGGGAGAGACTGTCCCTGTACCACCATGGTGGCCCTGATCACTGCCCCATGACACTTTTCCAGCAGTGTGGGGACTCGTGGGGGCTGGGAATGGGTACCCTGATAAGGGTGTACGTGTGTCAACACCCATAAATGTGTGTACATGACTGTGCAGCCCAGATGGACTCCAACAAAAAGGCAACACTTTCCAGAGAGTTTCTTCAGTGCTCATTGGAACAGTGTGAGGATGCTATAAATACTCCAATTCCAGGACAAAAATAGGGATATACACCCTGCTTTGCCTCCAAAAGAGCCTCCATCAAGCAGGGAAGACTGGCAGCAACAAGCATCATCTCTAGAGCACATCCTCTGCCTGGCACAACTGAGCTCATGGTGCTGGGTGACAGCTCCAGGGGATGCCCACCAGTCCAGCCATGCAGCTCCTTGGTCCCCATGTTCCTCTGATTTTGTGTACTGCCTGTACCCACAGGCTTGTGCACGCTGTGCTACCTGTTTGCTGGTGACCAAATAATCCATTCTTGGTGGAAAAGGGGCCAGCAGACAGGAGAAGGGACAGCCTGAGGTGGCTTCACACTGGGCACAGCATCTCACTTGCTTGGTTCCTCCTGGGGCCGTTTCCCAGTGCTCCTTCTAGCCTAGTTTGAAAGGACCAGACAGTGGGAGGGAGCATCTGTGTGCAGTGAGCCCCCAGCCCTGGGGATGCTGCTGGCCTGCACCCACACAAACTGCTGGGCAAGGCTTTGCCTCCTCAAACCTCCGTGGGTAGGCAAGAGGAATGGGGAAGCTTAGACCAAAAGTCCTCAGCAGAGGAGGGCAACCAGGTTGGAAGAGTGGGCTTTGGGGTAAATCCAGAAGACCGCCCCAAGTTCACCCTGGGGTCTGGGAGGCTGGACAGATCCCAGCCTGGTGCTGTCCTCTCTAATATGAGAACAGGGAGCGGGGGCAGCCCACGCCTCCATCTGCCTGCTGGTGATTTTGGATGCCAGACGCAATGCGAGCAGCCTGGTACAGCTGCAGGTACATGCACCAGCCTCAGGCAGCCCTCAAAAGCCTGCCTCTTCCCAGGGAACTGACCCACTGTGTTCACAGATAAGGCAAGGTAAGGGAGATGCCTCACACCCCAGGACAGGCAGGGCCACTCTACCTTCTCTGCCTCCTCCCGACTCATGGCCAGTGCCAGCTGCAGCTGCAGCTCCTCCTCTCCCGTCGTCTGCGGCCGTGCTTGCTCCAGGTCAGAGGCAAACCGTGGGGATGAGGATGATGCTGGGAGATAAAAGAGGAAAAGGGGAAGGAGTGGCATCAGGACTTGAGGTATTTTGGGAAGCACATCAGCAGTTTCCAGGCCTCTGTCCCAATACCCAGCCTCCCCAGGAGATGTAACCGCACTTTAGAGCTCACTACCTTGAACAAGCCATGAGTTTAAGGCTGGAGGCACCACCAGCTGCCATTTGCTACTGGGGTCCACCACTGGCCCAGCCAAATCTCTGCCCTGTGGTGCAGGATGGGCTTCACCACCACCATCCCAAAAGATGTAGAAGAATGACGGGCACCAAGCAGGTGCAAACCAAATGTAACACCTGCATCCCCTGAGAGAGCCCGAGTGAGCTGCCAGTAACACTCACAGTTGAACGAGGAGGGTGAGCCCCGTGTCCGGCTGTAATCTTCACCGTAGGGTGACGCCCGGCGGCCGTAGCCGACCTGGTGGCTGCCACTGCCCATGCCCTCCAGGGCCATGCGCTCCTTGGTCTGCAGCGCGTGCGCCCGTTCCTGCTTCAGCCGCTCCTCGTCCTTCAGCAGCGCCATCACCTGCTTCACCTTCTCCCGGATGTTGATGCCCTGGTCCTTGCCATCACGGTCCACATACTGGAAGTCCTTCAGCGTCTGGATGGTGTAGAGGTTCTCCCGGCACTGGTGGGTCACCTTCTCGGAGCCAGTTTTGATGAGGTAGTCCAGAAGGGTGAGGGCTTTGTAGACGTGACGCCAGTTCTTGCCGCTGTCGTTCAGCCGCCGCCAGATCATGCCCATGACCTCGGCAAAAGCCACCGTGTTGAAGGTGAGGTCGGCGATCTCTGACATCAGAGAGCTGGGAGGACCCCAGGGATCATTGGAGGTGGCCTCCCGCACCTTGATCTCTGCCTCTGAGTAGTTGTGCACGATGTTCTTCACCTGCCGACGCAGCGCCGAGGTTGTCATGGCTGTGTGGTGCTGGAGACCTGCTGGCGGCAGGCAAGAACAGTGGAGAAGGGATGAGTGAGCACGGCCACAGCCTCACGAGCACCTGCAGCAGGGAACAGTGACACAGAGATCTCAGCATCGCCCCAACCACCAAGACCCATTCCCAGAGTCCTTGGCTGGCATCAGGGACATGGCTCAAGGTGGATGTGACCATCATAGGGCCATCAGGTGCACCCTGCTAGGCTGCCACGACTCACCAACTCAGACACACAGGATGCTCAAGAGGAAAAGAAATCTCATGGCAAGTGATACCCTGAATTGCCAAGCCACCACAAGTTTTGACTCTGGATTCAGCAACATTTGGAGATTCTACCCTGCACTTCTGCTTCTAAAAGTAATCATCTGAAAATGGCAGCTCACTCCTCCAGATCCTGTCTGCCTCAACTCCACTCTCCTGGCAAAGCTGATTTCAGACCCTGCCAGCCCTTGTGCGGCCACGAGTTCCCCTGTACACTACCTGCACCTGCACACAGCCCTGCTTGTCCCAGTTGTCAGCCCAAGGCTCTCAGTGCTGTCAAGGCTGCCTCGTGCAAACCCAAAACCTCGTCATGAGTCAGAGCCTATAACAATTCTCTAGTGCTGGCAGCTGCTCAGGCAGGTTTTCCCAGCAAATTCAGTAATTTTACTCCCACCAGAGGCTGGTGAATTCAGGGTGCTAACAGCCAGTGGCAGGTTAGCCAGCAGGATGGATAATGGAATGCCCCTCTCACCAAAACCCCGAGCTGTCTGAGCCTCCTCTGGACTGAGACACAGGGGCAGCAGGGGTTGGCATGGCTGGGAGCTGCCCTGGTACCTCCCCATGGGCAATGCCTGTCCTTGGGATGCACTGCACTGACACAGATGCAGTGGCGTGGGGCAATCTGGACTTGTCCTCACATGAGCCCATCACAACCCTGTGCCCTGCTCCATGCTGGTCCTCAATCCTCACCTTCTCCCTGCATGGTGAGAAGACACTGTTCACTCTCATTTTATCAGAGAGTCAAGCTGAGGGAGAGGCAGAGGCTGCCTTGCCCTCGGCAGGGTTGCACCACAGAACTGGGGAGCTGAGCTGCTCCCAGAGCCCTCACTGCAGCTGTGACAAAACTCACTAGCAATTTTTCCCCCATCCAAGATAACACATGTGAGCAGAGGAATATCTCCCGCACACAGCAGTCTGCAGACAGCAGTTATCAGTGTCCATTTCATCACCCACCTCGGGTTCCAGTACCTCCCTGGACTGCAGCTGCTGCACCACATCCAGCCCTCTCCCAGCTCAGGATACCACTCCATCGCACTGGAGCTGGGCCAGGCCTCTGTCCCAATACCCAGCCTGCCCAGGAGATGCAGCCCACAGGGCACGCACGGCACCCACCACGGTCCCACACAACCCGCACGACCAGTCCAGCACCTCCTGCTCCTGTGGGCCAGCAGCCAGGTGCCCCACAGCTCCGCCAGCAACATCTGTGAGTCAGAGAGGAGCCTGGCACCGCCACGCTCGCGGGCGGACAAAGTTTCTCTCGAGTCGGTTCCCTGCACCGATTCCCTTTCGCAATGCAGCCCGTCAGCGTCAGCGCGGCCTTTGGATCCCGCCGGGAGAGCCCGTGGTGCAGTCGGCCAGGCCACTGCCCGCCTGGCACAGAAACGCCTCTGGGACAAGGGCAGAGACACAGCAAAGTCCTCCAGGACTTGGCTCCATGCTCTGCTTTCCACCAACACCCAGGTGGAGATAAAGTCACATTCTCCAAAGGTGCCACCAGCCTGGAAAGCACCAGCAAGCACAGTGGCAGTCCGAAGAGGGGGCAGGATGGTTCCTTCTGCCTCCAACAGGTTTCCTAGCTGGACAAACCCCAGGGTCCAGTGACAGACTCCCGGCATGGCTCATCCTGGCCAGAAACCTGACCCCAGCTGGACTTTGCCGCCATGAGATGGCCTGGGAAGTCTGAATGGAAAGAGATGGGAAGCATGGGCTGGGGCAGGGATGAGAGGAACGTAATCAGGGCTGGAGCTGCCAGCGGGGTTTAGAGCTGCGGGTTTATCAAACACAGAATCATCCCCCCCCTCCCTGGAATATAAAGGGAGTGAAACAGAAGCTGTGTGGGAGATAAGGCGGCAGCACCCAGCAGCTCATATGGAATTACTGCAGTGACCTTGACCAAGAGTGGCCAGGTGGGAGAAGGACACGGCTGCGGGGCCAGGTCCCCATCGCCCGCGGGCCGGCGCGGGGGCTGCGGGGGCGACGCGGGAGCGGCGAGGGGCGAGGAGGAACGGCCGGGGGGGAGCGGAAGGGATGGGGGGGATGCAGGGGGGGCAGAAGGGGCCAGCGAGGGGAGGGGGGCCGGGAGGGGGATTTACAGCTCCATCCCTAATCAGGTGCAGGGCTGAGAGGAGCGGCGACCGCCACGGGGGAAGCAGCAGGGAACGGCCCCCGCAGCGCCGCCGGCTCCCGCAGCCGCCCGGCTCCCGCTCCGCAGCCGCAGCGGGGCCCGAGCCTGGCCCAGAGGCGGTCGGCACCGAGCTGCCCGCCGGGGCCCGGCAGCCCCCCAGCCCGCGATGCTCAGCGTCCAGAACCTTCCTCCTCCTCCCCCCAGCGCAGCCCGGTGCCAGGGGCGCGCGGCCCCGGTTACCTGCGCGGTGCCGCCGCCGCTGCCGCCGCCGGTGAGCGCGGGCTGGAGGCGGCCGCAGCCGCCCGCTCCTGCTGCGCGCCGCCGAGTTGCCGGGCTGGCTGGGCAGGTCCCGGCGGCAGGTCCCGGCTTAACCCCTTCGGGGCCGCCCGGGCACCGGCAGAGGCGCTCAGGCCCCCCCGGCGCGGCGCGGCGCAGCGCGGTGCGGTACCGGCCGCGGGGGATGCGGCGCCGAGCCCCTGCCCCGCCGCATGCGGGAGGCGGGGATGCTGTAAATGCTCAGTCACTGCCCCTTCTCTGGCAGCCAGCCAGGCGCTGCTCGCTGCTGCCTGCGCGCCTGTATTCCTTTTCCTTCCCCCCCCCCCTCCTCCTCCCCATTATTTTTAGACAGAAATCCACGTCCCCGGGCGCGGAAGAAGCTCCGAGGGATGCCGACCCTCCCCACCACGCAGCTCCCTCTCTGCTACCCAAGGCCACACTCGCGATTTGGGTTCTTTAGATTAATTTTTTTTTCTTTTGCTAGGATCTAAATTTGGAGCGGGTTCTTCCCCTGCTCTGAACATCTCCCGGAGCCTGGCTGGGCGAGAGAGGGAGGCATCAGATGACATGACAAAATAAGTCATGTCTCTCGATCATTTTAATGCCGCCCCCTCTCTCTCGGCCTCTGCCTTCCATTTTAATCACTGACAGCCCTTCAAGTATTATGGATATATATAATCTTTTTAATATCACTGACATTTTCCATGAGATGGAAAACATCTCAGGTGTGCTGAGACATTCTGGGCCGGGAGAGGGGGTCGTGCCTTCCTGCTGCTGCTGCTTCCACCAGCCACACAAAATGCTGAGCTGAGATCCATCTTGCCCCCAGGGTTCTGCCTTAAGTCTTCGGGGAGGCCGTGTGCTTCTGGGGGCTTTGCAGATCTCAGCAGCCTGACATTCCCAACAGGCTGAATAAGCATCTAGTCCCACTCCCAGCTGCAGTGTGGGAAAAGAGGATTTCCAGCATCGAAACCCTCTGCAGGTCAGCCCAGAGAACATCCCAGCTCGGGAAGTGCAGGCATTCTTCACGGCAGCTCCATGGGCTCCAGGCTTCCTCCTCCTCCATTCCCAATGCTCCTGCTTCACTGTCAGATGGTGAGGTAGACAGCTTGCCTTTCTTCAGGCAGTGGTTTTTTTATAAGCAAAGTGAATCTCTCCATGGGGAGAACATCCCAGGAGGTGTTTTTGGAGCTGTACAAATGTGGGGTTTCTTTGTGGGGGGTCCCAAAACCCCACTGTGGGTACAGGACCCAGCAAAGCACTGCTTGCCCTCAGCAGAGCCTGGCTGCTCACCAGACCCCCTCTGCCATTGGAAACGTACTGTCATCTTCTGCTTGCCTCATTTTCCTGCAATTCCCCCTCTTCCCATCCTCACTGGTGGTGATGGTGTCTTCAGGCCCCACTCACGTGATGGGTTTGGAATGCAACTCCCAAGGCCAGGAAGGTTGCTCACCTTGGTTATTTAGCAAACACAACACAAATTATTAACACTAATACAAATAATGCCCACGCTTGGGAGAGGAGAAGGAATAATTTCCTTGCCTGGCTGCAAGGACTCAGCCTTACAGTGTCCTGCAGAGTGCAGGACTGAGAGCCCTGAGGGTCTTGCTTCTAAGGTCAGAGCCCACAGCTCACACTAGGCCTGTAAATAAGAGGTGTATGTTTCTAAAGCTACTCTGCAGAAACCACCTCTAATTCCACTGCAGTTCCTGTTCTGTTACTTCCACAAATCAATGCAAAAGGAAAAAAAAAAATCAGCTGGCTCACAAAAAGCTGCAGCAGGCAGACAGCAGAGTGCCACAGCTGTTGGCCAGCACATCCTTTCCTGCATGCTCCTTGTACCTCATTCCCTGAGGACACTTGTCCAAGGCTGGGAGAGGCCCTGGCAATATTTATGACAAAAATTTATGACAAGAAATTAGACTATTCACAGGTTTGTTCTCCTTTGCAGAACTTCTATGCCGCCCACCTACCCTCTGCTATCAGTCTCCTCCCTGGAGGGGACAACGCCAGCACAGGACATTCTTCCATTGTACGTGACTGATGTAAAACTTTCATCTACCCCATGTTGTATTAACAGGTTTTCCTGTGGGTAGATGAACACATGGAGCCTGGTTTCAATAGGCTGGACTGAAGATATGGATCCATGGAGATATGGATGGGCTTTATCATCCTTTAAGGTAAAACTACCAAATGAAAGGATTCCTGCCTCTGCGACAATCACGTTGCCTCTAGAACATGCAGACTCCCTCTCTCCTAGAAACAGATGGCTTGAGCAGTTTGAGTTGGGCAAATTCACAAAGCTATAATCATCTCCAGGGAGGCAGGAGCAATTGTCAGAGACACACCCCAACTTCAGGCCTTTTTCCTCCTAATTCTCAAAATGTTGCTGAAATTCTCACTCCAGGAATGCTGAGCAGAGACATTCCCTTTGTGGGTCTCTGCCCACTGAGCCAGAGGAGGCTTCAGCTGCTACAGAAGCCAAAATGCTTCCCCACACCCTACTATGAGAAAACATCTCAAAAGATGAGGAGCCTCACCTGGCCAGTGAAAAAAACAAGCTGTGTTTTGACATGGTATTGCTGGGAGCCAAGGGGAGAAATAGATCTCTCCCCAGGGAGAGCACAGGAGTTAAAATGAGAAAGCAGAAGACACCAGTGCAGCAGAAGGAGCAGTCATTTCACACTACGTGTGCAGCTGCAGGCCCAGGGACAGGGCCATGTGCCCAAGGGGCACACCTGGAGCACTGAACTCATGGCTGAGCCATGCTGAGCATGGACAGGCATCTGCTGCTTAAGAGCTCCAGCGGGATCAGCATCCCCAGTTAATGATCTGCACTGATGTCACTGCTCTACAGGGCCAAAGCCTTTCTGGGGAATGCTGCCCAGCAACTTTAGCAGGAAGGTGGCACTTACTGACACCAGGCCAAGACAGACCCCACACAGAGCTCACTCTGCCCTGAGAACCTGCTCCAAGCCCAATGTGCCACACTCAGGCCTGGGATGCCTCCACAAAAAGCCCCATTCAGCAGTGATGCACACAGATGGAAAATGGTGATGGAGCCCAGGCACACAGGCAGATGGACAGACAGGAGGGGTGGCTCTAACATGAGGACTTAGCATGGCTCACAACTTTTATAGCACAAATTTTACTCATTTAAGAGTGATTAGTGTTGGAAGGAAGCATGCAAAACCTGGCTCAGGATGGGGTGTGGGTACCTGGAGCTCAATGGAAAGAGATGGCAAGATCAGCACAAGAAGGAAATCTGAGAGTGCAAAACCAGGCAGGGTGGCACACCCCTTGGGACAGTGTTCTCACTGGGATCCAGAATGCCTCAGAGAAGCCTCCTGTCAGCAAGTCCCAAAGGGAGACTGGACAAGATGCCCAAAATAAGCTAAAACCCAGGATGGATTTGTCCACTCTCCTGGTACCAGTATTCATGAGTACAAGGACATCCTGTTCACTCATCTGCTAGCAAAGCACAATCAAGACACAAAGAATATACCTCATGTTAACTGGCACTTTTAAATTCTCCTTTAGCAGAAATACCAGTATTTTCCAGGCCTAATGTTTTCTGAGTGGTGATACTTCTTGCCTTGTCTCTTCTTGGGAAGCATCATCTGTAGCAGTAACAGATGATCTAGCAATAGTCTCACATCAGAGTGTGTCAGAAAAGAAGCAGCTCAGTATTTGTAACCACTGAATCACTTCAGAAAGAAGAATCTCCACTCCATCTGTGTAAATATGGTTATTTATTTTATTTTTTTAAAAGCAAGTCTATTTCTACATACAAAGGGCTTCACTCCCACTTCAGAGCATGTTGCTCCTTCAGATCCTCAAATAAAGACACCATTTTGCTCACCATTGAATCCAGCAGCCTGTAAACCTGTAGAAATTCAAAGACAGCTGCAGTGAAAACACATGAGGAAATCCTGAGGCTGAGACTGACAGAGATGGTTTCTGAGGTACATTTTCATATGGGTACACACACAACCACATAGAAGTGGGAGCCTTCTGCTGTCAGAGCTCTAGTAATAACTTCCCTGGCTATGAAGTGTGTTTAACATTATCTGAGGTACAATTAATTCAGCTGATCCCTCCAGAGTCTGCAAGCAATGCTAAAGACATCCCAGATAGAAGTCCCGCATGTGGCTATGTGATGGCTGGATTTCTGCTAACAGATTCCAAGCTGAAACAAATTAATTTGGATTTCACACTTACCTTGCTGCAGCACAAGGGACATATGTCTGCCAGTTTTCTGAGTTTAACAAAATGCTTGCCTCTCCCCCTGAGCCTCAGTGTGCCTTACAAGAAAAGAACAAAACCCTGCCAACGACACAAGCTTTGGTCAGACTCACTTCAATGTAGAGCTTTTCCCGGTATGCTTCAAGTGAAACGGGGTCCACCTGCTCCTGGACAGGCTCTGCTGCCACAACTGGAGTTGCAGCTTCCTCTTTCACCTCTTTCACCTTGTGCTTCTCATGTCTTCCTCTGACGGACTCTGCTCCTTTCATGGCCTGCACAGAAATGGAAGACACTTGATTCTCATCTTTTGCTTTCAGCTTTCTACTGCCTGAATGATCCCAGTCAGGGACAGACCAAGGAAAAATGGGACATAAGTCAGGACACTGATCAGACTGCTTCAAGATGCATCTCCCAGCAGCAGCACCTCTTGCACTGGGTTGGAAATTAGTTCAAACTCAGGATACACAACCTCAGGATGATCACACTGTTCCCAGCACTCAGGGTTCACCAGGCATCCCAACACCTACTGCTTTCTCCCTTCCTGATGCCGCTCTACTTTTTTTGCCTTCTTTATCCTTTTTCTCTTCTTTCTTAGTAGCTATTTTGTCTTCCTTTCCTCCTTTTTTTGCTCCTCCTTGCTTTACTTCCTCTACAAAATAAAGGATTTCAATTAACCAAAAGCATTAACACATCCAGAAAGTCCATCCCACTGCACTAGCACAGTGGGAATGTATTACTTTTGCAATATATTATCCTCTTTTTGTTAATCTGAGATGTACTGCACTGAAAAACAATACCTTGAAGACTTATT